TGCTATGAGCTATAATGCCATGGCACTCTACCCAGGGGGACAGCTTGAGGCTCTGTCTCAAAAAAAAAAAAAAAAAAAAAAGAAGAGCCTCTGGATTCAAGAGTATGAGTGAGGGTCTCATTAACCGTGGCTTCTTGTGAGGCTGAAGCAAGAGTTTGAGGCTCTGTGAGCTATGATGTCACAGCACTCTACTCAGGGCCACAGAGTGAGGCTCTGTCTGGAAAACAACAGTGGCTTCTGTCTTCACAGCAGTCCCAGATGGGAAGACCCATTGCATAGCAGCTTGTTGCTGCAACTGCAAAGGATTGAGATAGCCAGCAGGGCAGAGGGGAGGGGAAGAATGTTTTAATCCCTTTGGAGCGCCCACTGTTGCCCTAATAGTCAGTTCTCCCTTTCTCTGAGGAGGGTGATACTTAGGCTCTTTATTTACCTGCTGCCTTTCATCTGTAATCTACAAACCCTTTACTTTAATAATACCTTATATTAGTTAAGTGCTTCTCTCCTAGGAGGTTAAAATACTTTCCATAGATGATCTCTTTTATCTTTGTGACAATCCCAGAAGGTAGGGTAGGGCTATGATTATACCCGTTCCACCCTATAGAATAGAAGTCCAGGTGGGTAAGGGAGGTGAGATAACATGGTCTCCTCAGCAGTGCTTTGTATTTGTCATGTTTCTTTGGGATGTTGAGAGCTGGAATCTGAATTGGCCTGTCACTTAGGAGCCTTTAACTTACGTTAGCTTCCCGAGTCCCTAAGCATTGACTTCCCTGGGCCTGCTAGAGCTTGGTACCAAGGAAAGAGGCTGTGTGCTCGGTTTTCCACTGGGGAGTTACAGTTGGCCCTATTAATTTTGCTACTGAAAACCCGGTCAAAACTGGGGTTCCTGGAAGGGTAGCCACAGTGGCTTTCTTGCCTTGCCCGGTGAGGCCAGCTGGGGTCCCACAGGCAGGCTGGAGCAGCCTGCCTTGGATGTAGCCCATTGCCCTCAGCTCTGAGATTACAAAATCAGGGCAAGAGGACAGAAGAGCTAGCTGCTCCCATGTGTAATTGAAAAGGACCAGAAATTCACATTCCTATAGACTCAACTTGGTTTGAAGAAAGGCAGCTTACATAGCACAGTGAGCGAGGAGGCTATTTTTGCCCCTGTTCCAGAAGCCCATTAGAAACTTTGAGATGGAAGCTGGACCTGGTGGCTCATGTCTGTAATCCCAGCAAGTTTAGGAGGCTGAGGTGAGAGGATCACTTGAGCCCAGGGGTTTGAGACCAGCCTAAGCAATATAGCAAGAACTCATCTCTATAAAAAAATTGTTTTAAAATAGCTGGGCATGGTGGCTCATGCCTGTAGTCCCAGCTACTTGGGTGTCAGAGCTGGAGGATCGCTTGAGCCTGAGATTTGGGGGCTGCAGTGAGGTCACAGAGCAAGGCCCTGTTTCAAAAAACACCGCCATCTCTGTATTAACCTCCAGCCTTAGGTGTCCCTAGGCTGCTTCTGCCTCCCACTTCTACCATCTTGGTGCCTATGACCTTCCTACCAGCATGAGGCTCTGCTTTTCTCCGTGGCCCTAAAGGCTCTGTGGGAGGGCGGAAGCTGGGGCTCTGAGCCCTGGGAACAAACACAGGCCTACTCTAGGCTTTCTCACACCAGCTGACTTAGGCTTATTCTCCACTAGTATTCCAGATCTGTCTGCGCCTGGAGCCAGGCTCCCTTGCTTTGTGTAAAGTCCTTTCCCCTACCAGCCTTACCTCTACCTGCCCCATGGCAGGCTCAGTGTACAAAGGGGCCTGGGAGCCAGGCTAGGGAGAGAGCTGCTGTGTGGACTAACTGGTCTGTTAGCGGAAAACAGCCTGTGCTTCCTGAAGCCAAAGGGGTGAAAGAGGGAATAGTTGTGAAGGGAAGCATGGCTGTGGCTGAGGTCCCTATCTGCAGGTCTTGCACAAGAGCACATCAGCAGGAGGGCACACACAGTCATTTATGGAGTAACTTAACCCTGTGCCAGGCACCATTAGAAGTGGGGGTTACTGCAGGCCTGGTGGCTCACACTTAGAATCTTAGCACTCTGCAAAGGAGGGTGGATTGCTTGAGCTCAGGAGTCAGCAAGAGTGAGACCCTGTCTCTACTAAAAATAGAAAAAACTAGCTGGGTCTTGTGGCTGGTGCCTATAGTCCCAGGTGCTTGGGAAGCTGAGGCAGGAGGATCGCTGGAACTCAAGAGTTTGAGGTTGCTGTGAGCTATGATGATGCCGCTGCCCTCTACCCGAGGCAACAGGGTGAGACTGCCTCAGAAAAAATAAAAACAAACCCAGAAAGTTCTTTGCTCTCAAAGAACTCAGACTGTTAAGGAAAGGTGTGGCTTGCTTTCCAGTGTAGGGAACTGAAAACCAGACTCCTCCCCCTGAAGCACTGGGAGAGGGCTGATGCAAGTCTTTCAGACAGACATGGTAGCCCACCTGGAAGCTGAGCAATTGGGAACCGGCCCAGATAAGCTTGACTCCACCCTGACAGTTGCCTCCGCAACCCACAGCAGATGCCCTCATCCCTGGCACTCAGCTTGCTCCATCTCCAACCTCAGCCACCCAGGTTACCTCAGCAAACAGTCTCTAGAGCCCAGTGGAGTGAGTCAGAGCCCTGGGTCCCTCACCAACCCTTGGTTCCCACACCCAGAAATTCCAGGCCCAAGATGTAGGGCTGGGTGCTTCAGGCAAGAGAATGAGGAGTCCACCAAGAAAGAAGCCAGGCTTCTAAAGAGAAATGCTAAAGACGGAGTGTGACACCTAGGAGCCTGGCTGAGCTCACAGTGAACAGGGCAGTACAGGCAAACACTGAAATCTCACTTCTAGAAACTCATGCTCCCTGAAACCTGTCCCACTGTTCCTTCCCTAAAGCTTTCCCGGTTTACCCAGGGTCCTGAGAATGCCTATTCTCCAACCCCCGTCCCTCCCACGGGGGGCCTGGGGCAGCCCTGGCTGCACTCCCAGGATGAGTCTGACAGGCAGAGCTGGGATGGGCCCCAGAGAAATGTGCTACATGTCAGAGCCTGTGCCAGAATAAGGGGCTTGCTCCTCTCCCCCTTTTACTTCCCAGCATGGGGTTCCCCAACAGCCCCTCCCAGGTATATACATATTCAGGGGAGGTGCATCCTTGCAGCCTGGACTGGCCAGGTCCTGGTAGGGCTACTGCCTCTGCCTCTGACATTGCCCTTTTAAGAGCTCCCCCCCAACGGGATGGGGGTGCTGCAGGCAGGTTCTTGTTGCAGAAACCCAGCAATATGCTGCTCTCCACCGACCTGCCAGGGAAGAAGACCTGGACTCCAGTTCTCAGTCTCTATGCCCCGCGACCTTCGGGATAGAGGTAGGGGGTCCCAGTGACCTCTGAGAGAGCCCATTTTCCTGGAGGGAAGGGCCAGGCTCTAGCTGCTCTAATTGGTTAGTTCATAAGCCCTGCATTTTGAAGAGCAGTCCTCATCCCTCCACAGGACTGGGCTTCCTCCCCGTACACAAACCTACTGTCATAAATAGTCTAGGAAATTATCTTTATTGAGGTGCAAATTGCTGATAAGATGGTATAACCCCTCTTGAAATCTTGTTTTTTAAATACTGAAGAAACTGAAGAATTAAGCTCACATTTAGAATAGCATTTATCTTTTCCTCCTTCCATCTTGTCTCAGAGAAAATTCTTTTGACTCTTTCTCCAAAACCAGCCCTGGTCTACTTGTGGCCCAGATTTCATGCTGCTCTGTGTCCAGAGTTCCTCTTTTCAGCTAGCTCTCTCCTGATCTAGCTCTCTATGTCCAGCCCTCCCTGTCGGTACCAACCTGCTTACAAATTCCCCATCTTGAACCAGCCGTCCTGCAGTCCTGCCTCTCCTGTGGAACTGCAATCCCATCTGGCTCCTTTCCCTCAGAGATTAATGAATAGTGGACATTTGCAGGCTCCACTGCCTCATTAACATTCTCCAGCCCCCTCAGAGAGAAGGTGGAATGTTCCAGACAGGGCTACAGCACAACATGAGGGGGCAGGAAGAAGGCTGGGATGTCTGGAGTACAGAGCAAGGGCGAGTGAGTCCAGGCTGGAGAGGCTCCCAGGGTTCTGGCCTCTCCTTGCTCTTTCTCCTTTGCTCTCTGACCTCCACTTGCAAATCCATGTTGTCGCATGTGAGGGTCTCACCCAGAAGTCCAGAGTCTAAATCATTACCAGATCCTTTCCCCCATCTCCCCTCAGAATCCGGGTACCCCAAAGGCCTAGGAGTCACCCTGGGCAAGTCCCTGTTTGTCCCCAGTGGCAGGTCTGTTGTGTACTCCCGTTGAGTCTGTGGATGTGCCCCTTAAAAGCCTGTCCCTTGGGGCGGTGCCTGTGGCTCAGTGAGTAGGGCGCTGGCCCCATATACCGAGGGTGGCGGGTTCAAACCTGGCCCCGGCCAAACTGCAACAACAACATAAATAAATAAATATTAAAAAAAAAAAAAAAGGCCTGTCCTTCAGCCCCAATACCACCTCTCCTCCTCCTGGACTATTAGGAACACCCCATTGTGGTCTGCCAGACCCCAGTCCTTCAGGTACAACCTCCTCCCTGTGCCAGAGGAGTGTGGCAGATGGTACAGCCAGGATCAGCCTTCACTGCCAACACGCTTCAGGTGAATCCAGACTTCCCAGCCAGAGTCTAGGCTGTGAGATATGGCC